GTTGTTATGCGTATCGAATAGAAGATTGATGACAAACAGTTTTTGAAAAAAAAAAATGAAAAAAGAAAGATACAGGACAACTAAACTGTTGAACTTTGATTATTTTCTGTCCAATCTGTTCAGCTACTCTTCCCGTCGGTGACGGCATCCAAAAAAAAAAAAGAAAAGATTTTGTATTTTTAACTGTCAAAGACACTTACCGTCCTACAACCAAAAAACAGCATCTGAAAGTCACCCAAAAAATGTTTGTACCCAAAAATTTTTTGCACAAAAGAAAAAAAGAAAAAAGAAAATAGACAGTTGTTGAAAATGATTTTGCAAATAAAAGAAATTGACTTTTCCAAAAAACGTAACTTTTATACATCAGAAAAAGTTGATACTTTATCTACATCAAATTGGTTATAAAACTGATTATTTTAAGAATAGTATTAACAACAATGTCATCGTTTTCATCATCATCATCATCGTCAGCCGACGGCAACGGGCAGAGAAAACAAGAACTGTAACAATTAAAAGACGTCTGTACTGAAGAATCTGGTTTCGTTTAGACTTTTCGTAATTGAACACTGTTCGCTGTTGACAGCAGAATCGAACAAAGCAAAAAAGATGCATAGTTGAGGGTTGCTAATTTCATCAATTTTATCTTTGCAACAGCATAAGTAATTATGTTTTGATCAAAATACTATATGTCGGATTGGTCATTTATAAGTTGCCTGTTGTCCATCTGTTCAAATGTACAAATCTTTTGTTAAACATATTTTAAAAAAAATATTTTATTGAATGAGTAAAGAAAGAAGAAAAAATAAACGAAGAGAACGACCAGTGACTATCAAAGGAGAAATAATTGCTGCATCAATGCACCTATTTTTAACATTATCTAATAGGAATACTGAAGGTTTTTTTGCAAATATTTCAATTGACGAGGAAAACCAGTTAGATGCTCCATTGGAAAGAACCCCCTTATATTTACCACTGACAAAAACACTGTTGTCGACAAAACATTTGATGTTAAAAATTTTTGATATTTTTCTAACAGTTTTGTTTTTTGTTACACAGTACCACCACAGTACCACAGCAGAAGTTCTATAGCTCTTTTAAAAACCACATTCTAATTACTGTAGCCAACCGATTACAATCATCTGTACATCAACTGTTATTATCAGAACCCTCAAAAGTTGCTAAAAATCCGTTTTTTATATGAAGAATTTAATAATTCATTTCACAAAGTAAAAAAAAAAAAAAAAACTACTAAGCAAACTCAAAAAATTTTAAAAGCAAAATTTTATGGTCAAGAAAAATAAAAAAATAATTTTTACATCTAACTCAATAAACCCTATTTATTCTCTTCTCCACCTGAAAGTTCAACTTTGCCCTTTTTTTTTTTTTTTTCGGTAAACATAATAAGCCTCTTTTTTGTTAAATAAAGAAAATTACAGTAGAAAAACTTGCAACGAAGAATTTTATTTACTGGTCTGTGTACATTAAACTTAGTTATATCACTTTATTATAAGGTGATCATCGACTGCTGCTTTTTTTAAGAGCCAACTACTTCATTCATTTGACTCATTTCTTTCGCTTAAAAGCTTTTAAATTGATTCAAGAACATTTCTTTGTTTGCCACTATTTTTATTTAAAAGCAAAAGCATACAAAATAAGAAAAAATCTTTCTTTAAAACCTTTTACTTTCCTTCTAGTAGTAATAAAGCCAGAAGGCAAAAAAGCAAAAAAGACGAAAGAGGAAATACAGTTTGTGTACTTTTTGAACGAAATGCCAAAACTGGCTACCAGTTGCATTAATTTCTAATTAACAGTTTATTGATGCCATTGATCAGTTGATCAAAAATATGAACCGCACAGCCCATAGACACTTTCTCTGAATAACGCCGAATTCATTGATCACAAATTTGTTGATATTTCGCATCTTTTCCTATCGATCTTTCCCCTCGTAAACTATTACTATCCGAATTCATTGTGATTAATAAAAAATCAAACATTCTCACCATGAAAATTTGCACTTATGAACAGTGCACAATTACCGATCAATTAATTTAAAAAATAATCACTTCGCATATATATATATATATATATATATATATATATATA